CCCTGCCCGCCTCGCCGTGGGGTGTCCCGGTCAGAGCCGGCGGTGCCCGCTGCGCCGCCCCCGCACCCCGCCGGCCGCCGCCGCCATCTTCCCCCCCAGCGCGTGCTGAAGCCCCGGCGCTCGGCAAAGCGGGGCGGGGCGGGGCGGGGTTGACCTCGCCGCCCCGCCCCTCCCACCCCCGGGGCGCGCGTGCGCGGCGGCCGGCCTGCGCTCCCATTGGCTCTCCGCCGCGCCTCATTTGCATGTTGCGGGACAATAACAGCCGGCGGCTCCCAGCAGCCCCCGCGGCGCGGCGGGGCCGAGCGCGGCCTGTTGCCCCCCTCAGCGGGCGCCCCGGGACCCCCGCGGCCTGCCAACGGGGTGTCGGCGGGGAACGGAGAGGGGGAGAGTTCCCCGTTTGGCTGCCTCTGTATCTTTAATTATTCCAATTACGCCTTCAACAGCCAGGCTGCGCCTAACCCAGATACTTGCCCTCCACGCCCATATCGGGCCGCGTGACTGGCGTGTTCCACATAACTCGAAGGGCCTGGGTGGCCGTTGGTACTTTCTGGCTATTACGGCCGGTTGTGTGAGTCACGGCACACAAAAAATGTATTTTTAAAGGACAACTCGTTCTGTTTTCCGTGGCGGGGGGGCAGTTAGGGGGAGAGCCAGCTCACTGCGGCCCGGTGATGTTTTGTGTGGTTTCTGTGGAAATAGCATGGAAGTGCGGAGCGTTAACCCATTTTTGGGCGAGGGACACAAAACGCCAAACACAACCCTCACGAGAAGGCCACAGTGTGCAGTCACCACACAAAACCCACTAAAATTATTTTAATTGCAGGTGAGCATGGTACAAAGGCGGCAAGCTGGCCTTTGGGTGTCCCCCTGGATGATTTCAAAGCCGCAAACAACTTCAAGGCATCGACGCTTTAAAGACCCACCGTGTTCAAAAAAAGACCCAATTCCTTCTCTTTTGTGGCTCGCTTCTCTGGGCGTGCAAAATGGCTCCTGCCTCGGGAAGCTCCTCGCAGGCAGCTCTGCACGACGTGGAGCCAATTCCTTTAATTCCTCCGCACACCCAGGGGTAACGAGGCGGCTGCTGCTGCGCTCAACAACCCGAGATATGTCAATAACTAAACAATAGGTGTAAATAAAGCAGAGGGAGGTGGGAAACCCCAACCCCAAGCTGACGCCAGTGAAAGGAAAAGCTGCGTGGTGTGTATTCCCTGGACCCAACCCACGGGGAACGTTATTGGAGCACGTCATTATAACAGCGTTAAGAGACAGCAGGCATTTCACTCGCTGCCCGCGTTGATGGAGACAATATTCCGCCCCTTTAAACTGCTAAAGGCTTAAGCAAGGAGTGAAAATTCTCCACCTGAAGCTGAAGTTGTATCCAAAGTTATTAAAAGATTCCTCTGCCTGTTAGAATGGGGGGAGGGAAAGTGCGGGGAACACGAAGAGCAGCCCAGGCCCAGCCTTGGTGAATTAGGAAACTGCGGTGGAGCCGAATTTGCCAACATGCTGGAGATAAGGGTGTGCTGCTGCCGGGGCCCGTCAGGGTGTGTGAGATGACAAACAGTACTTACGAGGTGGCTCTCCACAGCAGCAAACGTTGCTGCCTCACCCCCTCCCATATCTCTACCAGGAAAGGGAAGCACATAGTTTCAGAGTTTCCCCCACAGAGTCACTCTTTCCCTCCCCTCGTTCTCATTCTTCCTCCTTCTTGTCCAGGTCCCTCTCTCAGGGTGATTCCAGCCTGGACTAACCCCTTTTTCTTGAATGCAGCAGATTTCATAGAATCACAGAATCATTTAGGTTGGAAAAGACCCTTGGGATCATTGAGTCCAACCATCTACCCTACTCTACAAAGTTCTTCCCTACACCATATCCCCCAACACCACATCTAAACGCCTCTTAAACACATCCAAGGATGGTGACTCAACCACCTCCCTGGGCAGCCTATTCCAGTGTCTGACCACTCTTTCTGTGAAGAATTTCTTCTTAATGTCCAGCCTAAACCTACCCTGTTGCAGCTTGAATCCATTCCCTCTTGTTCTATCACTAATTGCTTGTGAGAAGAGACCAGCACCAACCTCTCTACAATGTCCTTTCAAGTAGTTGTAGAGAGCGATGAGGTCACCCCTCGGTCTCCTTTTCCTCAAACTAAACAGTCCCAGCTCCCTCAATCGTTCTTCATACAATTTATTCTCCAGGCCCTTCACCAGCTTCATTGCCCTCCTCTGCACCCACTCCAGCACCTCGATATCTCTCTTGTATTGAGGTGCCCCAAACTGGACACAATACTCAAGGTGTGGCTCACCAGTGCTGAGCACAGGAGGACAACCACCTCCCTACTTCTGCTGGTCACACTATTTCAATAGTGGCTGTAGTGACAGGGTGCCCTGGGGCAGCTCAGGGTCACACAAGGTGATGTGTCCAATGGTGGCTGGGTATGCGCTGCTCCTCAGCCCATGATCCCCACCACACTCCCCACCAAACCCAGGTTCTCCATGCCTCATCACAACATGTTTCCCAGAGCTCTCCTTAGTGCTTTGCCAATCAGCCGTGGCTGGCAGACTGAGAAACTCAGCCTGAGCTGCCCAACACACTTGGCAAAGCATGGCCCCGTGTTTGGGTACGGGCTCCCAAAGCCAACTCACCCCACAAGCAGTTCATACACCCTCCGTCCCTGCTCACCCACCCAGGGTGGCCCAGACAGCCAAGGAAGACTGCATCATTTACATGAGAATTAGTAACCTTTGCTGAACTCTTTCACTCCTGCACGATGACGCGGCACCCAGATGAGAAATTGCTATTGGTTTTCCTTCAGAGGATCGCTTGGCTCCTGTGAGACAAAGAACAACCATTTTTTAATGAAATGGGACAGAATTGGCTTTCCCCGCTGTTCGGGATCAGTCCTGAGAGATCTCCCAGTGTATCCCTCCCAGGACATGCTCTGCTGTCTCACTCCACATTGTTCTTGTACCCTGAGGGTCGATATCCTGCCAAGGGATATTTGTTTAAAATTCTCGAATGCACAAATTTGGCACAAAATGTGGGGCAAAGGGCATCCCCCTGGTTACTGCAGCTGGCGTGGAATCTTCCCACCTCAAAGTCCAAGCTCCATTTGCATCCAAGTCCATTTAAGCTGCAAAACAAAACGAATTCTTCCTGCTAGGCTTGCTCAGACAGACTAATAAACACAACGGGGAGCGTGAAACAGAAGCGCTGTGCAAGGTAATCAACTGTTGAAGGCACAAGCAGTTTTTCAGCTTGTATTAAGACTGATTCACTTGTAGCTGACGTCAATGCTCCCTCCCTACTATCTTTGCCTTGGGATTGGAGTATGATAAATACTACCTGTAATGCCATCTGCTGTACAGAGACAGCCCAGGCTTCTCACTATTTATTTAAGGGCTAATGTTGTGCTAGACCAGAATGCAGTTTATTTCAGCCTTATTTGACTTTGTTTTGACTCTAATTAAAAATGCCTGTCCACTTGAATTTTTAAAGTGATCTGTCATAGAGCAAACCCAACATTTGCCTTTAAACAACGAAGTTCAGACAGCATAGTTGGCATCAAACAGAAAACTAACGTGAAAAGGACAGGCTTCTCCACAGGGAAGAGTCAAGAGAAGATGCAGAGTGAGGAGATCACCATCTCAGGGTGGGGAGCTAGGACCTCCCAAATCCTAGCTGGCTGAAATCCTGCAGAGCTGACTTATTTTGTGTATTAGTTTTTCCCTCAATTCCTTTAGAACCTCACTCAAGTCATCTGGCTTCTCCATAAAATACAAACTTGTAGTTTAGTGGAGATTCTGACTTTTGGACAGTGGTAAAATTGTTTTGAATGGCATTAAGCTGAAAATAAATAGATTGAGTAACGCACATACAAAACTGTTTCCTCTTAGGATTTTCTCCTCTTTTAAGTAATAGGAATTATACCACTTCCTAGAGAAGCTATTTCACGATAGTAACTCTGTTGAGCATTTTTTGTTACTTAAAACTTCCTGACACTAAAACCTGAGTCAGCTGAAAGCCTTGTATATGGTACGTTCAGAACGAGCAGCACACACTCAGCCAACAAATAGCCTGAACGCCCCATCCATCATAATTTATGAAGACCAGGGTTACTAAGCTAATTCTACTCTGAGTTAATTTAATTGTCCAAAAAATAAAATTAAACTGCTTAATCAAAAGGCTATGTGGTCACGGGCAGAATTTCTGTCATTGTCCCGCTGCAGAGAAACATGTTGACTTTACCAGTTGACTCACTGAGGTTTGCATATTGGTAGCTACATTCGGAACAGATATTAGTGCACTATTCTGAAAACTCTAGTGTCTTTTGTTCTGAGGAACAGCAATAATTTTGTATGTGTAAAAGCAATTAAATTATGTAAAACTCAAGTAATTTTAAAAGGGAAGGGCTGTGGTGAAAGATATACAGTAAAAAATTTAAATTTAAATGAATTATTAAAATAACCTTGGATGAGAGAAACAGAAATATAAGTAGTGCTTTTGCTTAGACTTAGCATTTCATAAAAGACATCTGCATTAGTTTTATTTGTGTTTATAATCAGTTACTTCCCCTGGTTTTACTGTACTTGATGGGACCTAATCCTGTAATGTTTGGATTGCAAATGCCACGCTATATAATGCTTAAATGCACATAAAAATCTTGCTGCTTAAAATATAATTAAAATAGTAATGTATGAAATCCCTTAACATGTTTTTTAATAAACAGCAATCTACTGCATCTTGGACTGTTTGAATTTTCATTTTATAGGACCTCCCACTTGAAGATCAGAGTGCCCTTTTTAATTATTAATTAAGTCATGTTGATAGGATAAATTAAAATCTCTGTGATGGAGAACATGCATTATTTATTAATGTCCTGATCTTGTCCTACACACTGTGGAGTCTGCTCTTTGGAAACTGCTTCAGAAAAATAATACAAGGGTGTGTTTTGTGGCAGTAGGATTTTTCAAATTGTGGTTTCTCTCATACTCGGCTTTGGTCTTCCCTTTCTTCTCTGCATGACAAAGTGGGTTGGCTTTTTTTTTTGCTTTTTTTTAAATTTTCTTTACATTTCTTTCTGCAGGGACTTACAGCTTTCTGTTTGTGTGTACATACTGCTTGAGAGGCATCAAGACTTTATCTAATTATCACATCCTACAGTCAAGGAATTCAAAATTTGTCACATGCATTAATGATAGGGGAAACTGAAGTGACACAACAGCTACGGTCATCCTATTCTTCTTTTACAGCCAGTATTGGGGGTGAGTTTAGATGAACTCTTGGTCTAAGTAAAGCCCTAATTATTTCTGGAATAACAATAAAAAAAGGTGAACTCTTGGTCTAAGTAAAGCCCTAATTACTTCTGGAATAATAATAAAAAAAAAACTCATGAGCAAACCAGATTGATTACATTATACTTTGCTATTGAACAGCTGCCCAGTTCGATGCTATTTCAATGGTAGATGCAATAAGAAATAATACCTTCTTATTCATCCAGCTCCTGCCCACATGCATTCAGGGTGCAATCTGTGCTTGGGAATAGCTTGCAATTTCAGCAAGGCCTGTTTTTCATCTAGGAGCCTCATCCCCTGTGCACCATCAGCTTTGCAAAGTAATTCTGGATGCAAAAAGAATGTATTAAATTATATTTTCCCTTGTGCATTGTCAACAGCTCTTTTTAGTGATTTTAAATCCATCAGAAATGTGTAAACTAACAAGTAGGGAGGCTTTAATATTAATTATCTCATCTCATGACACTGCAGTTGAACAAGTGATACAGAAGACAGAATACAACCAATGATGATAAATAATAAACTAAGCACCACTCTCCCTCCAAGCCTGCACTAAATTCCCCAGTTTCAAAATTTGCAGGACTTGTAGGTAGGAAAATCACCTTCATCTTTGTTAACTGATCACATGTAGCATCTGAGAGAAGATTAGTCAAGGAATTTAAAGGGTCTGTAAGCCCCTAAGTCAGCTTCACCCAGAGATATGTATGATCTCAACCACATGGCAGCAAAGGGGAGAGCAGCCACATGCTCAAACTGTTCCCTCCTGCAGGCTGGCCTCTCCCAGCTGGGACAAACACCACAGCAATTAGAAGTAAAAGTCCCAAATCTGTTTTACTTTCCCTCAAGCAAGAGGATGCGGAAACTTCACTCGCTTAATAGTGACAAAAGTAAAGAGCTTCACTCGCCTTTTAACTAACAGGCAGGAAAACAATCCTCCTTTACTTCAGGGACTGTTTCCCTGCCTAAGGCTTCCTTCTTCTTGAAGCTGCAAGACTTCTAACTCTGCTACCTGCAAACGGGTCCTTGGCTGACTTCTATAACCTGTGCCTATCTGCTTTATTAAGTAGGGCCAAAGTGCACTAATACCTGCCCTGTACATAGCTAAGGAATATGCAAATCCAAGTGAGTAACTGACAAAGTCAACACGCTCCTCTGCTGCCAGACTATTAAAGATACTGCTTTTTAAAGATCCTGTAACTTCCTCCAAATATAGGCACATACTCTCGCCTATGACTGCAGCCAGTCCTGGCACAGCCTTAGTAAGAAGCAAAAAGGAGGAGGTCTATGATGGCATTTTTACAGTCACTCTTCAAAAATGGAAGTGTACTTGAAGTTACTGTTACTCTTCAAGCCTGAAACAAAAAACCCCAACATTAGTAACATGATTTAGGAGACCTTCCTGAAAGGAAAGGCACTAATGTTTCCAGTTGAAGCAAAATCATCTCAGAAACAGCAAAGAAACAAAGAGACTAAATACATCAGCTCTTCCCCAAGGAAGGAGGCAAATACAGTAACTTTGGGTTATACTTGTTTTAACAGAAGGAATGCAGAAGGGAGACCCAGGTGATACTATTATTTCATGTAAGGCACACAGAGGTCCAAGATACGACAGAGTACACTGGATTCTTACCTTCATGACACCACGTCCTTAGAAAATGGGATCTTTCCAAGGGGAAGGATGACTCCAGGATCTGCCCTGTGATGTGGAGCTATTTCAAATCCATCCTAAGTTACCAGCTCTTTGATAATATCAAATGCCCTTGGTAGCCTTATACTGTGTGAGGCAGAAAATACCGTGTCTTGTGTAACTCATCAACACCTTTGTTAGTAATTGGCTCTTGTGCAGCAGAGGACAGTGCGAAGAAGTGACAAAGATGCTGTACATACTGTGGAATTATTTCAGTTTTCAACAGAAGAAGCTGGAACATCTCTTAATGTAGTAAATTTGCATGCCGCCACAAAGTTGTGCTGTTCAGATGTTTCGACTGGCACAGGGAGGAGTCAAGTTTATTGAATGTAAAAGAGAACATGCCCTCTTGTGGTCTTAAATCTTTTGTCAGCTTTCCTTCAAGACAATAGGCACAAACCTGGTCAGAAAAATAGGAAACACTGTGTAACAATGTACTTGTCAGTTTGATGCACAAACAAATGTGGTAAAGGTGGTTTTGATCAGATAACGCAAAAGGCAAGCTTCAGCAAGTTTAATTTTAAAAAGTTGTCTCTTGGTTGCAACTGAAGCCTGGCCTTGGTTGGAACTTAACCCTAAAGAACCTTGATCATTTAGTCACTCTCTAACTCATTTTTTCCAACGTATAAAAATACCTCTATAGATTGCAAGATTACAACAAATGCAAAAGGCAAGCTTCAGCAAGTTTAATTTTTAAAAGTTGCCTCTTGGTTGGAACTGAAGCCTGGATGTTAACATCTTTAAGTTAACCCTAAGGAACCTTGATCATTTCGTCACTCTCTAACTCATTTTTTCCAAAGTACAGAAATATCTCTATAGGTTGCAAGATTACTAACAAACTACTTAATGAATATGCACACTGAGCATTAAGCACTCACGGATTTTTCAAAAGGAGAAAGACATTGGTAAGACTTTAAAAATTAGTTTAAGCAGATTACCGAAACAAAAAATATTAGCAAAAACATGCTTAAACAGAGGATTCTACAGCTCACAAGGGGCCATTCCCCATGCTTTTTTTTGTGCATGGCCTTACACTAGCATTTTTACCTGAAACACGTATACAGCTTACACTTATGTGGCAACGCCTTAAACCCTTCCCTAGGCTTTTCCTTTGGCTTGCTGCTGCGGGGCTGCTGGTACTCGGATTACCACCGCGATGGACTCTTTTCTGAAGGGGCTGGGTGGCGCCTCAGACCACCACAACGGCAGGCGTGAGGCAAAGCAAGCGGGGTGCCCTCACAGGAGGCCTCATCCAGCCAAAGCCCAGTGTGCAGCCACGTCGCGGGTCTCCCTGCTCCAAGGGAGGCAGAAGGATAGGGGAGATGACGAACACACTCAGCCACAGCGGCTCCTGGCCAGGGCCCAGCCTCCCTTCGCCGCCTGTTATGGCGCCCCCTTCCCATCATGCCCCGGGGCCGCAGACCCCCTGTTTCCCGTGATGCCCCGTGGCGGAACACGCCCTTCCCGTGATGCTCTGCGCTCCCTGGTAACCGCACCGTTGCTAGGGGCGGCGCTGGAGCGGCCGCCATGGCGGCGGCCCTGAGGCTTGTGGCCTTCCTCTTTCTCCTCCTGCCGCCGCTCCGGCCAGCAGAGCCGAGCGCTGAGGCCGACCCTGACGCCAGCGCGGCGGGTCCCGCGGCGCCACCGGAGACCCGCGCTTCCGCCCCGGCGCGGAGCCGCAGCGGGCCGGCCCCGGTCACGGACGGTGGGTGCCCGGTGGGGCGGGGTCTGCGGCTATTCACGGGCCAAGAGAAGTCCCGCTCACCGCCTCTCTCGGGCTTTCAGTCGTCGCTGGGCCCTTAGACCCGCTCCCATTACAGCTGCTCGGGGCTGGGACAAGCCTGTGCGGCAGCAGCCCCGATTCTCCCCGCGGCCCCCCCGGGGATTTACTGCTGCAGCGCTGCTCTGAGCTCCCCGCTACAGCCAAGGCTCCGAGCCTCCTCAGAAGAGCAGGCTCAGCAAGCCCCTACACGGCCTTGGGGGACTGGGCAAACTGATCCGAGCATGCACTGCCCCGTGAGTTGGCACTGCTGGAGGGCAAGCTCTCCTGGCCACCCAGCACCCTGCTCTGAGCCCCCAGAGCAGAGCCTGGCCTCGCAGGGGAGACCCAGACTCACCCTATATGTTCTTGGAGACGTGCACATCCACACCGAGCTGGTTGCACACACAGTTTCCCCCAAGACTCCTAATTCAGCCCCAGCTCTGTGGATATATAGCTATGCTGTGGCATTATAGATCACAGATTTTTATTGCTGTGCTATCAGAAGGTATTTTCCACTATATTCTAATTGGCAGGTGTACTTTTATTTAACCTTTGATTTCCCAGTGTTGTTGCCATTGATTCCGCTTCCCTAGATTACTTGCCAAATTAAACATGTTGTCCCAGTGCATGCCTCCTTGGGGAAAAGAAGCTTAAATGCCTGGTCTCAGAAACATAACTGCGCAATCTAATCATCCATGTTTAAACTTCTGTTGTTTACAAGGTGAGCTAAGGATTCCAGTGCTAAACTCAGTGACAGAACAGTCAGAACAGAGATTCCAGGAAATACCTGGATACTGTTCAGACGGTCAGAGAACATCCAGGAGACCACAGAGAAATGGACAACAGTAAAGTTGAAATAAAAGAAGCAGTAGTTACAAAAATGAGCATTCTTTAAATGTCTTGCCTATGGAGCACTGATCTTACTTTTCTCCATTCTGTGCTATTCTTAAGTCTAGATTTATTATAGAACAGCAACTCTTAACATCACTTCAGTAGAGTAATATCTGTTCTTTGAATTTATAAACTTGAAAACCTAAGAATGTTTTAAGAAGTTGCCAAATGTATTTTGTTGAGACAGTTTACAGTGTTGCTAGCAATTACTTTCTGTATTATTACAATATTTCACAGTATCTAAAGACAGAAAGAAAAAACAATTTCAAAGAAGTCAACTATGGTAATGCTGGCACATCAGGAAAATATATTACTAGACCCTGGGACATGCTCAGTACTTGTAAACATCTCACCGCTCTATCAAAATGTTCCTTTTTTTTTTTTTTTAATCTTCCCCAATCAGCTGAAAGAAGCAGATAAGCATACCTTGTTTGTATCTTTTTTTCCCCTCTGCAGAACTGATTTTCATACCTTCAGAATTCCTATTAACTCAAGTTGCTTTTTTGATTTGACAGGGAGCACACCATCATATTTCAGTATGCTCTTGGTTTTGTTATTGTGTTCCTAACAGATTTGCTAAGTAGCAGAAAAGATGGCTTTTAAAAATGACTTAAAACAACACGTGAATTTGGATAGAGACTTTTGACCATTGTCAAAAATCAGGCGATGTGAAAAATGAAGGTGTCAGGGAACATGCTGCAATGTGTAAAGTTCCAATCCTAATTCTAATTTAAATCTCTCCTCCAGTTGCCAAGCTGTGTGTTTGTGATCTGTTGGTGGCACAGTGTGATGTAAATTGCTGCTGTGACCCTGATTGCAGTGCAGCCGATTTCAGTCTCTTCACTACATGTTCAGTTCCTATTGTCACGTAAGTGGCTAAACAGCTATATGAAATAAAAAAAACTTGTTTTATCTGCCGCATGCATTTTTAAGGGCTGTATCCTCTCCTCTCACCAGTTCTGAACCCCCCTGCCATCCTAACTCCTGCCTGCCCTTTCACCAGTCCCTCCTGTGCTAAGCCTGTAAACTGTTGGCCCCAACCAGGCAGAACAGCAAATTGGCCTCCCACCCTTTTATCTTTCATTTATTCCTTCTTTTCTAGACTCGCACTCCTTGCTTGTCTCCTGTTTATTTGTGCTACTGTCTGTGGGCGCTTGGGTGGTGGTGCCTTCTCTTGGGGGGAGAATAATGAATCTTTAGACTTTCATTAATACAATGCAGTGTCTGGAAGTTAAGAAAGCTGATACCATGGGACCATCTGGCCACCTCTGTAGGTCATCAGCAATTTATCAGTAACCTCTTTCATTACGGTTTATGATATCAGCTGGAAACTTGATCAATTTGGGGCTTAATGAAGGAGCTTGAGCATTGTTCTGATCCCAGTTTTACAAGTCAGCATCCCAACCTGCTGCCTCACTGCCAGCCTGTCACTTTACAAACACTAAAATGTAACATTATATCAATAAGGTAATGCCCAATCGCTGTTTCATTGCTATTCACAGTTTATCTGAAAACACCTTCACCCAATTCCATCTTTTCAAAAAGGAGTTAAGAAAGCTCACTTCAAAATTGTAATGTGAAAAAACTCTTGGTGACTTCTCAGAACACCAAGTACAGCTCTTCAACCCACCTCCTGCATAAATTATGCCAATCTGAACACTGGGGTTTATTCTTGGTGCTTTGAAATTTGAATTAGCAGTCATCCCAGACTGTGGTTTCTTATTGTTCTTGCACACAATGACTACTGCTACCCATTTATAGATATTTATATATATCAGAAAGGTCTAATCAACGCCTTCTCCTGAATGACAGTTTAATTGTCTTAGGTGACTATTCTGTCTTTGTCAACTGGAAATGCAGAAAATGAAGTTATGTTTCTTTCCCCAAGTTCTTTTGTGTAAAATGTTACTTTTGCATGAAAATCCATGGGATTTTCAATGACTGCAAGTTATGTGAATCTCATTATTTACACATTGAGATTTATATACATTTGCATATTTCTATTAGTTACTGAAAGGGTTTGACGGATTACAAGTCAGAGGCTCTGTGGCCTCTGAAACAGAGGAGAAAGGGTGTTTGATTTATGATGTGACCTTACTAACAAATGGTTCACCTCACAGAGGAGTTTAACTCCATGCTTAAAAAGTCATTTCACTTCTTCAGTATCTGCCCTTGACCGCTTTAACCCTGCCTAAGTATGGTTTCCCAAGGATCATCATCTTGTATTTCTAGCATGTAGGACACACCAGTGCTCTTCAGGGTATGAACTGGCACATTTGCTGTGCAGCTACTGCAGTTCTGGGCTGTTGGTGATGAACCCATGGCACATCTACAAACACTTTTCCTAAATTGGATGGGTTATTTCACTGCCATTTCTCACTCTGCCTTTTTTTTCACATGCATCTCAAGTAGGACTTTTTTTTCTGCCTCCTCCCTTCCCCCCCTGAAGTGAATATTATTCTAATATTCACAAAACTGACCTTTTTTCTGGCCCACGTGCCATCACGTTACCCTAAAGGTCATACTTCCCACTTGTGTTGTATAAATAAAAGTGCTTCTGAGCTGTGTATAGCCTGTGGTGCACCGTGCATCTGTGGTGTCTCACACCACCTGGATCCCATCCAACTTGTCATTTTAGCTCTAATATTATTACTGTCGGGCTCTTCCCTTCCCCCTGGTCTGTCTCTTACCTCTCTCCACGTTGCTGCTCACACAGTTTCCTCTGCTAGATAAAACATGTTGGAGAATTCTTTTATTTATTACTAAGCATACAGTATAAAACAATATAAAACTTCTAAGGAGGCACAAGTGCTATACAAATTGTGTTAAGAAGTGTAATCTCTTTAGTGCTCTTTTTTTGATGCTGCCTCAATACTTGAGAAGAACTTTAAAATATGGTCAATACCAACTTCTAGTGGATTATTATTTTATTATTATTGTTTGTAGAGGTGACGACCGTCTTTGTAGTCAGAAAGCTGCTGTGTATTCACTTGATGTTGAAGCAAATCCACCAGAAAGGATATTTAAATTAATTGACCAAGTCAATCCCAGTATTTTCTGCATTCATGCTACAAACTGTAAGTAGAGTTGTTGCTGGTATTAAGAATTGTGTTGTTATTTTTATAAGCTCTTTAGGTACCAGAAACAGAGTAAAATTAAAAGAAACTAAACCCATCAGAAAACTGGGTATTCTGTATGCTCACAGTCCTTGTGTTGTAATCCTGTCATTTGTGAAACTATGGAGTTAAAACATCTCATACTCTAACTCTTAGTCTTCTCTGTTAAAAAAAAACTTTTTAGGGTGGGGTTTTTTTTTTTTTTAAATTATTTATCCTCTCCAATAAATCACATTAAAGTTGTCTCATGGGAAACTGACTCCTTCCTGATCTGTTACTGTAAGTATGGAATTGGTACAAATCCTTTATGGCCAGCTTTAAAATAACTTGCAGGGAAGTAAGAAGTGATCCGTGCTATGTTTTCTTAATTTAATTAAGACTGTGCAGTAGTCATCTGCATACTTAGCATTGAAACTGTAGACACTAATTGGCATATCTTTGTTTTGGAACACCTGATGCTGTTAGAAACCGTGGTTTTGAAAGTAAGGGACTTACCTCTTTCCTTAAGTTCAAGATTGTGCTTTCACAGATCTGATTTTCTCTTAAAGAAAAGAGAAAGCTTTCCTTACAAAAATAAAATAAAAAAAAAAATCATTATTGGTATTTTTCTTTTACTGGGTTTTAGAAGCTCCAGGAGGAAAAAATATTACTAAATAACTTTTCTGTATCTTCTATTCTAAAAGTTATCTTATTCTTTAAATAATATTTTGACAGATAAACAAGCACTCTCCTTCAGTTCCCCTGAAATGCCTACTTCTGAAAATTTTGATCGATTGCTTCAAGAGTTTGGAAGTACTACTTTCAGTGCTGAGCCTGACAGCTGGGATATGGATGCAGATGCTCAAAATCCTCCTGATGCAAATGAAACATATAGATACGAGGTAAATAATTACATGACTCAGTTAGTATTAGATTGCTCCATAAAAGAACAAGTGAACATTGTTTGCATCTGCTTCTAAAAATTGCAGTTCTAGAAAAGACAAAGTTTATTTTGGTCTTTAAATATAGAAATGTAAAAAATGTAGCATTGTTTGTTAGTTTACTTAAACAGTGAACTAGATTTTTTAAGATCTGTGAAAAAATGTGTAGGTGGTTTGCTATTGTAGACATAAAGCTGTTAGCAGTGGCTTAAGAATTGATGCATAAAGTAGTAAAAAGCATTGACAGATATAGTGGAAACAAGTACTTATTTTATTCAGATTTATTGTTAATATAAATGCTCTAAAACTTCCCATGGACTGAAACACACCTATACACTTGAATATGTTGTTTTATTTGGCAGTATGGTGTTCCTATACAGACAGTGGATGCTTTTCTAAGGCTGCCTAGTCCTGTTGTCTCCTCTTGGTGCTCTGATGTGAATCCTGCAGGTTGGAAAATGCATTTGAATTCCAGTTTATTTGCTTTAGAGTGTTCTGTTCTGACTTGAACTTGACCAGTCAGTAAATTGGCACACACAAAATGTAAATACAGATAACGAGTCATGAACAAATATTTTTCAAATAGCTTCTATTTCTCTCCGGTTTTCTTTAGACATTGATTGGAAGTTGCGTTGCATCTATATTAAACATTCAAAGTTAGATATGTAAATCCTTGAGAGTCTTGTTAATGGGTTGTTTATCCAACACCAAAACATCCTATTTGGCATAATTGGTTTAATAAAATAGTACAAGGGTGACACCATGAGGGAAGAGGGTATTACACAAAGCAAGACCTAACTGGGCAACTTTTGTAAGATGTCCCTCTGGTGTAATGAGGTTCCTTTCACAGCCTGAATGCAACTCAAGTCAGACTTGCAGGCTTGAGCTCTACATTTTAACCTTTCACACAGTTTCCTGAAAATCTGCAGAGGGGGAGGAGGGGAAGAAAAAAAGAAAAAAGAAGAAGCCACAACCACAGCCAAACCCACACACCTGCATTTTCCAAACCCCAGTGTTAGTATTAAATAGGGCATCATAACAATCATGATGATGATCATAGGAGAACTGAAGTTTCTTGTGAAAGAAAAAAATAATCTTATGAGATCTCAAAAATTAAGTCCTAAATCTTCTAGCTTTTATTAAGCTTCTATTGTTAAGAAGTATTTTGTGTCACAGCATTTCTGGAGAATCTAAGAAAGTGTCATTCTTCTCACAGTCCTTGTGTTGTAATCCTGTCATTTGTGAAACTATGGAGTTAAAACATCTCATACTCTAACTCTTAGTCTTCTCTGTTAAAAAAAAACTTTTTAGGGTGGGTTTTTTTTTTTTTTAAATTATTTATCCTCTCCAATAAATCACATTAAAGTTGTCTCATGGGAAACTGACTCCTTCCTGATCTGTTACTGTAAGTATGGAATTGGTACAAATCCTTTATGGCCAGCTTTAAAATAACTTGCAGGGAAGTAAGAAGTGATCCGTGCTATGTTTTCTTAATTTAATTAAGACTGTGCAGTAGTCATCTGCATACTTAGCATTGAAACTGTAGACACTAATTGGCATATCTTTGTTTTGGAACACCTGATGCTGTTAGAAACCGTGGTTTTGAAAGTAAGGGACTTACCTCTTTCCTTAAGTTCAAGATTGTGCTTTCACAGATCTGATTTTCTCTTAAAGAAAAGAGAAAGCTTTCCTTACAAAAATAAAATAAAAAAAAAAATCATTATTGGTATTTTTCTTTTACTGGGTTTTAGAAGCTCCAGGAGGAAAAAATATTACTAAATAACTTTTCTGTATCTTCTATTCTAAAAGTTATCTTATTCTTTAAATAATATTTTGACAGATAAACAAGCACTCTCCTTCAGTTCCCCTGAAATGCCTACTTCTGAAAATTTTGATCGATTGCTTCAAGAGTTTGGAAGTACTACTTTCAGTGCTGAGCCTGACAGCTGGGATATGGATGCAGATGCTCAAAATCCTCCTGATGCAAATGAAACATATAGATACGAGGTAAATAATTACATGACTCAGTTAGTATTAGATTGCTCCATAAAAGAACAAGTGAACATTGTTTGCATCTGCTTCTAAAAATTGCCGTTCTAGAAAAGACAAAGTTTATTTTGGTCTTTAAATATAGAAATGTAAAAAATGTAGCATTGTTTGTTAGTTTACTTAAACAGTGAACTAGATTTCTTAAGATCTGTGAAAAAATGTGTAGGTGGTTTGCTATTGTAGACATAAAGCTGTTAGCAGTGGCTTAAGAATTGATGCATAAAGTAGTAAAAAGCATTGACAGATATAGTGGAAACAAGTACTTATTTTATTCAGATTTATTGTTAATATAAATGCTCTAAAACTTCCCATGGACTGAAACACACCTATACACTTGAATATGTTGTTTTATTTGGCAGTATGGTGTTCCTATACAGACAGTGGATGCTTTTCTAAGGCTGCCTAGTCCTGTTGTCTCCTCTTGGTGCTCTGATGTGAATCCTGCAGGTTGGAAAATGCATTTGAATTCCAGTTTATTTGCTTTAGAGTGTTCTGTTCTGACTTGAACTTGACCAGTCAGTAAATTGGCACACACAAAATGTAAATACAGATAACGAGTCATGAACAAATATTTTTCAAATAGCTTCTATTTCTCTCCGGTTTTCTTTAGACATTGATTGGAAGTTGCGTTGCATCTATATTAAACATTCAAAGTTAGATATGTAAATCCTTGAGAGTCTTGTTAATGGGTTGTTTATCCAACACCAAAACATCCTATTTGGCATAATTGGTTTAATAAAATAGTACAAGGGTGACACCATGAGGGAAGAGGGTATTACACAAAGCAAGACCTAACTGGGCAACTTTTGTAAGATGTCCCTCTGGTGTAATGAGGTTCCTTTCACAGCCTGAATGCAACTCAAGTCAGACTTGCAGGCTTGAGCTCTACATTTTAACCTTTCACACAGTTTCCTGAAAATCTGCAGAGGGGGAGGAGGGGAAGAAAAAAAGAAAAAAGAAGAAGCCACAACCACAGCCAAACCCACACACCTGCATTTTCCAAACCCCAGTGTTAGTATTAAATAGGGCATCATAACAATCATGATGATGATCATAGGAGAACTGAAGTTTCTTGTGAAAGAAAAAAATAATCTTATGAGATCTCAAAAATTAAGTCCTAAATCTTCTAGCATTTATTAAGCTTCTATTGTTAAGAAGTATTTTGTGTCACAGCATTTCTGGAGAATCTAAGAAAGTGTCATTCTTAATAGCTCACATCAAACCTTATCTGCAATAGAAATCACATTCACTTTCACTTATACTTGAAGTTTTTATATTGTATTTGCTTTCTGCTTTTCACAACTACTCTTTCATTTCACTCAGTAATACTTTGTGACTTTTTTTTTTTCCAGCATTTTTAGTAAACCAGGCTACAAAATGCATTAGATCAGTAAGTGTGGAAAAATGTGGCAGCATTCAAGCTGTTAGCATGCTGTTCTACATCAACTCCAGCATTTTAGCAGTAAGTATGATTTGAAACAGTCATGTAGCTGACTGTTGATAATACGTATCTTTTTGGGTCTCCAGAATTAAGTAACTTCTATTTACTGAAGGATATGGTTCTTTCTTTGGATTTTTAAATTGTGCTTTGGGAAAAAAAAAACAAAAACAACCCTCCCTGTGAAACAGACTGTTTTACAGAAAGCCTTTGGAAGTGTTTTTACTTCAAGCTTTGGTAACAGAAGCATTTACTGTTCTCTGCTTAGCCAACAAAAATAATGGTCTTGAAGAGACAAGTTTGTGTCACTGAGCTAACGCTGCAGTGGCAGCAGTTTTGTGCTTTTATGCATGTCTGAGCTTTTTCCAAGAAGCCTGTTACCAGACTGCATAGTTCTAAGAAGTCTGCGTTTTAAAGAGGTGGTAAACCTTTGTACTTAAAGAGGAACCTGCAAGGTCTAATCATCTGCAGATACACTTTTCTTACAAGCCTCAATTTTTAATAGAGACTTATTGCATACACATGCAAAGCCTTCCTTATACTCCTCAGAGAACATGAACTTTTACCCCACTGAGACCAAATTTTTTTGTAACCAACCTAGTACCAAGTCCAGTCTGTGGTTATTTTCAAAAGCTAAGCTTACTTTTTCATCCCTTTTTGAACTGGAGGATGACATCTTATGTATAAATAAATGCCCTTTACAGATATTCAGGAAGACAAAAAAATCATGCATGCAAAATTGAAACTGAAATACTCATATCTTAACTTGATAGCCCCTTCCAGAACCCAAAGGTGAACAAGAAACAGCTCCCCCATACTCTCCCCTATTAAAATGTTTTTAATTTATATGATTATTTCAATTAATTTAATTAGTACTCCATAGTGAGTCACTGCTTAAAGAGCCTTTTCAGTGCCTCACAGATTCCAAAGCAGGGAAGTAGTTCAGTCTCCCAGGTGGGGTCATTCTCCTGATTGTTGAGGACCTCGTTGAAATCAGCAAGGGATTGTTCACAAATGTTAGCTTTTGATTGTCCCTTTGTGGAACAGATGGAGAAAACTCTGTCTCAGAAGGGCTTTGAGTGTTTCCATGTACACCCAAAATTAGAGTTTGTGGTGGCTGCAGAACCAGAAAAGAAGCATCCCTCAGGACAGGCTCCAAGCAGGTGAATATTTTTAAATTAAAAGATTAATTCCCCTTCCTCACTAGAACACTACATAACAAGTTGCCCACATGCCTCTTGGCAGTTACAACAGCCCAGCTTGGAGAGGTCAGATTTCTTTCCAAAGTCCATTGGATGTTCAGGAAGGCTCAATGCAATAACTGGAGAAGGACGAATGGATGCTAGAGATGGTCTGTAGGAAGCTCTCTTTCCCAAAGGGAGCTGATGATGGGATATGAGAATAGAAAAGTGAGTTGGTCCTGGGGTTAGGGTGGTCAGAGGGCAGAGCAGGGAGCCCTGCCAGGGCCAGCAGGTGGAGCTGCCTGCAAAAGAAATGGCAAAACACATCAACCCGTGAAGGCTTGCTGGGATGGCAGGGTAAGAGGACTGGTACAGCAGTTCCTCCAGAAAACCCCATCGTTATGAGTCCATACTCACTGCCGGGCTGGACAACTTGGGTGATATGAAAGTCTTGGTAATTGTTGCAGGTAATCTCTGCTCTCTAGCCCAGCCTGTCCAGCAGACACAGGGGGAATTGGGGGTGCTTGGAACCCTCTACCAAGATACTCATAACGTGATGCTTCATGCCATGGTTAGTGTGTGCTCTGCAGCTTCCAAAGCAACGTGCTGCTGCCTGCCTAATCTTTACAAGCACAGTTATTCGTGGAACTGATTCTGGTGGCTGAGCTGTACCTCAGGCTGTTGATGTAAATACATGACAGTGTGGGAAAGACTTTACCTGCATCACCTTCAGGTCTCCAGCTCATAGGAGTGTGTTCTGTGCCAGGATGTTAGATGGGCAGGCTGGACTCTGTATCCAGTCCTATTCCTGCAGAACTTACTTCATGCTCAGAGGTCAATTTTTGGTCCCTTCCCAAAGATGTGAATCAAAGACTCAGTGGGAGTCCAAAAAAAGAAAACTTCTGAGAAAATGGTGTTCTGTGTGAGTATTTTGCAGACCTGATTGATGACCTTGGTCTGACATTTCTGCCTTTCCGTGAAAATTTGGTGGAAGTTTTCCAGTGAGGCAAGTAAACTTGCCATAAAACAAGAGGGACCCTTGCTTCTGATTTGTTTGTTTAGAGACTCGGAAACTGTGGACTCGGTACCACCAGAAAAGGACAACAAAAGCTCTTCATTTCTTTGGGTACGAAGAGCCTGGCAGGTTTCCTGATCTGGCAGGCTGTGAATAGTGACGGGTGTTTTTGCAGAGATCTGCAGTGGGAACAGTGTTCTCTGACGCCCTCGATAGGTCAAACGCTACGGTGCACAGTAACAGTCACACCAAAACCAGGTGCCTTTTTTGGGCCACCTTTCTGATGGAAGTCAACTTTTTCAGCGTTTCCTTAGTTCTGATGTGCAAATAGTGTCCAAGGGAAACACTAGATGCATCCACTACTTACTGAACACACTGTATGTTTATTGGAAGTGATGTCAAAGCCTGATGGAAGTCACTAAGAAATTTTCCAGTTACTGT